ATTTGTCGACAAGGATTCAAGGTGAAGAAGGCGAAGGAAGCGCATGAAAAGAGCTGCGATCGACGTCAATTCGAATGCTATTTGTGCAAATATTCCACTTTGAAAAAATCAAATTTAGTCAGACATATGCGCAATCACACCGGCGACAAACCTTTTCGCTGTTCACATTGTTCAGAACGATTCGCTGACAAAAGTAACTTAAATAAGCACTTGAAACGTCACCACAATAAAACAAAATGATTTTGGTAACACATTCAAAAGACGTTCCACCGTCGAAAGATGTCTAGAGACACGTTGAATGTAGTTTTTGTGATTGTATCACATTCGAAAATGTATGTTTATCACTTGCTTGTGCGCGAAAGAAAAGAATCCCACAAATTGTACAAAGATTGATGAAAATCGACTCGAAAATGTTTCAGTTTAGTTTATTTGATGGAATAAAAATCGAATTGGAACAAAGTTCCAAACACAGAAATATCCAAATCGAAGGATTACCACAAAAAACATTTGGTACGAGTGAATAAAATGATAGAAATTAAAGTATAAATCCGTTTTGTTTTTCTTATTTCATTACAAAGCTGAAATTTGACTGGAGAATGGTTTATCCTGTCGAAAAGAACATATGAGTTGACTGAATTTCGAAGTATTTCTCAATCAAACAAATTGAAAGAAGAATTCGAAATCGGCCATTGAAGCATTTAAGTCGATAAAGAACCATTGCCGATTTTACGCGCATATTAAAGTGAACTTTGGTTATGAGCTGTTAAAATGTAGTCAATTCAATTGACTTTGGAACAAACCACATTCAATGCGATGAATTGCGTCAAAGTGTTTTTCGTCATGGATGCAATGATAAAATCTCATAAATTCAGGTTTACATTTCATTTTAATTCATTCAATTTTCAACGGAATAGTTCAAATGATAGACTTCAATTTTTATGAATTTCAACGTGAACTTTTTTAATCAGCAATTCTATTAAGAAGCTTATTCAACTTCTAAGCCTCTTTTGTCCATTCCAGAACTCTCATGCTTTCTGTTTCCTTCATTCGCTCTTCTTGAATTCACTTCAGGCTTTCCAATTGAACTCTCAAAACCCTTTTGACACCGAATTTCCACTCTTCCTGCTGATTTTTCGGTCAGTGATTCCCTTGGAATTGTCCGAAAAATGCAGCTCGATATTTTCCAATGTTCGATTTTTCATCTCTGGTACTCTGACAAAAGAAATTTAGGGTTATGTTGAACTTTTTGTTTTGACACATATTTCACAACAAGAACTTGAAAACATTGTGGTGATTTTCGGCACTAAATATATTTTTGCCGCTAGAGCACCACAAAGTTTTTTTGACTTTGTAGTGAAAAAAAAGTTAGAAATATTTTTGGTACCAGAAATCACCACAATCTTTTTGAATTCTTATTGTGAAATAAATGTCAGAACAAAAAGATTAACATAACCCTAAATTTCTTTTCTCAGAGTAAAAGGATCCAGTTCAAAGTTGGGGGTAAGACGGTATCAATTTGTCCTAATTCAACTATTTTGAACGATTTTTCCATTGTTTCTTCTAATTCCATAAGTTTTTGCTAATTTTTCTGTTTTTTCTTCCACACATTTAGTATGACCAATGCATTCCTTATGGAGATTTTTGTTTTGTTTATTTATTGTTGTTTGTAAATGTTGAATATGAATAAAGTTGACAGTTCATAGTTGCACGTATGAAA